TTTCCCTATTTATCCGTTAGGGTTCTCATTATATTTGTGTATCAATACCTTAGTTACCATATATATATACATAGATATATCATATGTTCGATCTCGCGTATTTTTTCATTTAATAATATATATATTATTATAATCAAGCAGTTCAGTGATAAAGGAGTTCTTTCGTGATTAATATATTCTTTCTTTGTTGCCAAAGCGATATGTTGGAGCCTTTTTCTTTTAGTCTTTCGTACCGCGACTGATTAACTAACCATACGACTTACACGGAAATATGCATGGACATGGAGGGCATTATGGTAACTTGAGGATATAAATGAGAAAATGTACTAATTTTAAAATAATTTTCAATTCAATTAAAAGTTCAGACCAGAAAAAAAAACCTTATCAATAATCTGTCACGTAAATCCGAACGCTCACGGGAAAAAAAAATCTAAAGGAGAAAGAAAGTGATTTTTTGTGTGAAAATAAATTTGATTGGGATTTTAAAGAGGAAGGGAACCAAAAAATAGTTTTGAAAAATATTTTTTTTTTCAAGATGGGTTTAACTATTTAAAGAAATAAATATTAGGGTTTGTAAATATTAGCCATATTATATATTAGGGAAGAGTTCGGTAAAAAAAATAGGTTAGATGTGACAATTTTTGTTTAAACATATATATTAAATTGAAATAAATACAGCGAATACAATGAATAAATTGAAATAATATATGAAAACAAAAAAAACAATAAATCAAATATAATCTTTTTTTTTACTGAAAACTGAATCAAAACGAAATCCAAGTCATATAGAAATCATTAATTGATAAAATAAAAATAAATAAATTTAAAAACATCGAATAAATATTAATTCATGATTCTACAAATAAAGCATTTGGAAATTCATACATTTTCTCTAATTTATATTCATGATTTCGGTGGCAAAGCAGTTCTCTAATTTGTATTATTTACACCTTTACATAAAGAACTATATTAATATAGATGTAATCAGTGACTTCTCTGCTTAGTTTTCTTTGCAAAACATTAATTATATAGAAACTAGATTATTTTTTAAAAAAATGTAGTTAATCATTCATCTATAATCTATTTAATATGCAGACCAGCACATAACATTTATTAACTCTTACATATGAACTTTTTTTTAAAAAAAAATTCTTTTCAATTTCATAAACAAATTAATGGACAAGATTCTTAGCTTTCTTTTGAAAAAAAAAAGATTCTTAGCTTTCGTTATCCATCATTCGAGGTTTTTGCGCGTTTAATTATCCAATAAAACCAAGTAATCATGCATACACTGATCCCCACGTCCCAATTTAAATATTGTAAAGAAAAAGTGTAGCATTTCTATATAATGACAAAACACACATAATTATTTTTTTTTTGTCAAAGAAAACACACAATTATTAGACGTGATATAGAATCCACCCGCATATAACTCCGATACAGAATTCGTCTCCATTCTTTTTCCTGTTGGTAAGTAAAAATGCTAATATATACAAATCCCACATTTTTACTATTTTGCCCATGTATGTATGTATACGTATAAATGTGTATAGTACACGTGTACAAATACATAATAGAGTATTTTGGCGTAAAAAATGTTTGCCTTCATAAAAAAATACACAATAGAGTATTTAATATACAATTCAAAGATTAATGATGATGATTATTATGCAAAGGATACCATGTGAATTGGTTGAAAATTAGGTCTTTTAACTTTACGGTCGGAGTTCGAATCCTCTTAGTCTCCTCAGTTGTGAATCTATCAACTATGGATAATCTAAATTGATTTATATCTTTCGTGTAGTTTGCAGGCTATTACACGAGAGCGAAAATTTATCCAATACACATCCGTAATTTAGTGGCTGCAGGTTCGCACGTTATAAAAAAAAAAGTGATAAATAATTGAGGGCAAAAATAAAAAAGGGGAGCGAAGACAAAAAGCCGAAGCATGGGACTCGGAGGCCATCAAATCAAAGGCCTAACAAAAACAATCGCATGAACACAAATCGAATAAAGAGTTCAAAAATGGTAGTGCACATTCCCTCCAATCTCCGCCGTCCAATTTCCATTTCCCTCCTAACCCCCTCACTTTTTAAATGTTCACAAAAAGTACCCATATTTTTATATTAATCGATTTGAACAAATTTCGTGCGTATTATGAAATTAGAAAATCACACACTGTCAAAAATACAAATTCAAAACAGAAGAAAAATGCAACGGTAACATAATATCATTAAATTATATAACTAACAAATATATTCCTCCATTCCAAAATTTGTATATGCAATTTTATGCAGAATGATTTAAAATAGAATCATTTATAAACAATTCGTTCTAATAATTTTCTACTCTATTTTGATTACAATATATTATGGCTTGTTTGTTATATGGGTTATTTGTCCTATATTTAACTTTTGTTATTTCATCCGCAAACAAAAAAATGAAGAATAGAATCAAGTTACATTTTCTATATAAAATCGTCACATTTTTTTATCTCGGAAAAAAAACCCAAATAATTCTTAGAATTCGTATTTAATTAGCCGACACATGGATCTATATTTTCTCGTCTAAAATTTATTTTAGAATAAAACGGATCTATATGGGTTCGAGTATTCACTTGGAGAGGGATTTCACATAGACTTTTCTAATCTCTTGATAGATATAATCAACTGTCAGACTATCAAAATAAATAAATAAATCAGATCTTTATTTCTTACTCCAAAATATATAATGAAATGTGAAACTGTGATCAAGCCCGAATGAAACTGGCCGAGTTTTTCATTTGCTGTTGGGCCTTAAACTGTGGACCGAATAACCAGTTCGAGGCTAAAACTAAGCCACGCGATCTAGCCATCAGAATTTCTGTGTTCCGCAAATCTTGTGAATACGTTAAATTGCCATTACCATTTTGAGGAGGGGCCATAAGCGGCAGGCGATCTAGATCTCGAGCTCTCTTGTTCTTCTTCGGTGAGTCTCTCGTCTTTCGATCTCTCTCTCCGTCTGTATGTTTACTGCTCCTCTGTTGGTTTTTTCCGGTTCCGCGATCTACGTCTCGAGAGTTGTTTGTGTCTCGTCATTTCCAGATCTGGTTGTGTTCTTCCGTTTTTCTTGTCGAATCGCTGTGTCTATCATGTTTTTTTTTCCTTGGAAGTGCTGGATCTGTGTCTGCATGGTTGAAATGTGTGGTGATCTGAGTTGGTTTCACGGATCAGGCCGCTTTGATAAAAATCGGGTTTCAGATTTGAATACTATGTGGATGTTTTACCGGAATTATATCCGTGCTTAGGAACCACCATGTGTATTTGATTCCGAACTACGAATACAGTTGGGATCCGGCTTTGCTTGGATTGTTTTCTCAGTTGTTGAATGAATCTATCTGTCGAAATGCGATTTGAATTGAATCCTGAATCTGAATACGTTTGTGTGGACAGGATCGGAAAATGGGGCTGTCTTTTGGGAAGTTGTTCAGCAGGCTCTTTGCCAAGAAAGAGATGCGTATCCTTATGGTGGGTCTTGATGCTGCTGGTAAGACGACCATTTTGTACAAGCTCAAACTCGGTGAGATTGTGACCACTATCCCAACCATTGGTGAGTGATATAACTAATCCTCCTCTATCCTGCCTGTTGTTATGAATTCCGAATTCTGGATTGGGATGGCTGCTTTTGCATCTTGGTATTGTGGTTTATAAATACAATTAACTGGATTCTGAATGATTCAGTGTCTGGAGCTGACAACCATTGTTTTATCAGGGTTCAATGTGGAGACAGTGGAATACAAGAACATCAGCTTTACCGTCTGGGATGTCGGGGGTCAGGACAAGGTATTGTCAGATGCACTTCCTATTGCTTTTCACGCTTGGATTCAAGGTTTAGTTTTATTTATATGTCAAAAAAGGAATTCATTTGTGAAATTGTGACTATGTCGTAGTGTTCTCTTATGAGCAGGATCCAACCATGGCTACTGATCTATATTTAATACTCTGTCTCTGAATATGCTTATCTAGGTCCAGTGCTGGTATTATACACTCATATACCGGCTCTCTACAATTGATAAGCTAAATCATTATCTGCCAGAATTTCTAGTAGGACCTTTGATTGTCGAAGGAATCATAGTTTTCTGGTTGACATTGCATTATATATATCATTCTTCTTTTGTTGCACACACTCTTGCTGTCATCTAAGCGCTGCTACCCGATGTGATAGTCGGTTTATGTTAACTTTTGTGCCATTATTCTTGATCATCCAGATCCGTCCATTGTGGAGACACTACTTCCAGAACACCCAGGGGCTTATCTTTGTTGTTGACAGCAACGACCGAGACCGTGTTGTTGAAGCCAGGGACGAGCTTCACAGAATGCTGAACGAGGTGAACAAATTAAATACTCATTTATCTTGTCTCTAAGAATCACGATTTACCAATTTAATATATGTAGATGCAATCATTTTGCTCAATCTTTTTTGTTTGGCTGAATTCCGCATCGGCAGGATGAGTTGAGGGATGCCGTGCTGCTCGTGTTTGCTAACAAGCAGGATCTTCCCAATGCAATGAACGCTGCCGAGATCACTGACAAGCTCGGTCTCCACTCTCTCCGCCAACGACACTGGTGAGCAAAAAGCCGAAATTGGCCACACACTTGTTCAGATACATATATATACACACACACACACATGTCTAAACCCGTGGTTGGACTTGAAACAGGTACATTCAGAGCACATGTGCCACCTCGGGCGAAGGTCTGTACGAGGGCCTTGACTGGCTATCCAACAACATTGCGAACAAGGTAACAGTCTTAACTTCTCTTTTTCCAAATTCATTCATTGAGCTTTAATAAAATGGGTTATGGAACGTGGATCCATTTTGCAACGCGCAGGCATAGACCAGAGGCATGTGTCCGAGCCATGGACCTCGACAACATATAAAGTAGTCAGAATCCTCTGTTGTCTCTGCTTGTTTTGGTAATCTTTGCTAGTGAAACTACTATTTGTTGTCATTCTTCACTCTCTCTCCTTCGTTATTCAATTTCAAACTATGTTTTGTCTCTTTGTACTTCCCTTAATAATTGAAAAATCTGATTTTTCTCTAAATGAAGCAGTTGGTATTTTGGTAATCTCGTATGATTTATAAATCGGTATATCATCATGTCGGCCGATATTATGATTCGAATATCAGAATTGTAAGGTAAGCTCCATTTGTTATATATGATTCAGTTGGGAAAACGGAAATTACAATTAGAGCATAGACCTAAAAGCAAAAAAAATATAAAATTCCTCACGGTATATAAGATAGATCCTCCCTTAACCGTGGAGCTCAAGCAGCGGAAGGTGCGGTGACGAAGTTGAGTTGTCCTGCTTCCGACAGTGCATCGATGAACGGCTTTAGATTCACGGGCTCTGCCTCTCCGTCACCGGCTGCAACGGATTTCTTGTAATCCAAGGAATCGTCGCCGTAAATGTCCCACCACTTGTTCACCAGCATCTTCATGTCTTCCCTCTCCATGTTCTCTTCTTCCCCAGTGTACCTCCACGGCTTCGATCCCTGCCCTCGATCGTACACACAACTTCAGAATCGCCAACCCATATACATATATATATATATATACATGTATATGTGTGTGTAGATATATATACAGAGAGAGAGAGAGAGTTTACTGGAAGAAGCCACTCACCGCTGCACAGTAGTGGACCACTTTGACTTGGCCGAGTTCGACGTTTTCAGGGTGACGCCACAACATGGCCAGGACGAGATTGTATATCAACGGAATCGGCTTGTATATCTTCTTGAAATACATGTTCAAAAAGTCCTGCACCCGCCACAAAACACATCCACGATTATTCCGAACATACAATATAATCGACGAGAAACCATCACATACAAAGTTGGATGAAGACTTTATGATAAATGTTCTCCCAAATTGACATATATCAGATATTATATTTTTTTTTAAAAAAAATTATAAAGAAAACCCTCTAAATATGTACCTGTTCGGCGAAGGGAGTTGGAGGTGTGATCTCGAGGGTTCGGAGGAGATCCTCGTATGTGTCGAGGTCTGGCTCGAAGACGAACATTCCGGCGTTAAAATAGAGAGCCGGCGGGTCGCCGAGCTCGCCGGGCCATTGGACCTTGTCCGAGCATTGTTGGCAGTACCCGATCTTATACTGAGGAGTGTGGCTCCACGTCTTCTCGCAGAAACAGTCCATCACTGCGTAGAAATGGCCGCCAGACAGATCGAACAAGTGGTCTATGTTGTCGTACACTTGAATGTCTCCGTCCAAGTAGATCATCTTGCTGTATTCCACAAACTGCACATACCATATAAAGCTTTTATATGGAAACCTTCCGAACAGGAAAAGGGAAAAAACGATGACGAAAGATACCTCCCAGATACGAAGCTTGGAATAGTTGATGACGTAATAAGCCATGGCGAACCCGGTCTGGTTCTCGGGCGGGTAAACTGGCTCGATCTCTCGGACGATGCAACCCTGTTCCTCCAGTATCCTTCGATGTTCCTCCGGTACGTCCGGCAATACCGCCACGACCAGTGGATAAGCCGACTTCACCTTCCTCAGCCCTTTCGCCAGACCCACCACTCCCTTCACGTAGTCTCCGTTTCCCGCGAGGAACGTCACGTACGCCCGTCCCGGAATGCCGTCGGGCTTCCTCGTCACGGCGGCTGGTTTTCCGGCGACTGAGGTGTTGACAAGCTCCGGTGCCATTTAAAGAATTATGTCGCTGAGTCTGTCACCTCACTCGGGGGGAGGGGGGGTTGATATAGCCGTTGAGTACGAAAAAACTGGAGTTTTCTTTGGCCGCGATCGCGGGATCTGGTCCGTACACGTGTCCGAACGGTGATCGGACGGTGGTAATAGAGGTTGAGGGAAGGTTCTGGGTTTTGTGGGACCCTTTGGTAGTATATACCCTTCTATTTTTTATTTTTTTTCTAATTAGGTCTCAAAAGGCAAGTTCCGAGCGCAGACATTTTCAATGGACTATGACTTCCCATAAAGTTGGGCCTACCTGACCATTGGGCCTCTATGAATATTGGGCCCGTTTACACATTTTTTTGTGTGTGTTATTATTAATCCATGCATGAACGGGCGATATTAATATTATCCTCTCCTGATATTTATCAAAATCAAAATCACTATTCTATTATTATATTTCGAGGTTTCTAAATCTCTCTCTTTTCCCCTCCAAACTTTGCGCGAAAATGACGGGTCTCGATTCACACTCATCCACGGCCATGGGGAATGTTTTTGGACAAAAGGGTTTTTTATATGTTCTGTTGCGTAAACGTTACGTACATTAGTTGTCCATTTCTTCTTTTTTTTTGTTGGAAAAAAAATAATTAAAACCGAGAGATAAATGATATATATATATAGTATATAAGAGTTGAATCTATTCTCTTCAGATATATATATATATATATATAATTTCGTTTGGAGCACAACAATTCAGATCCTATAAATATTTTTTTATAACAAAGATGGTTCTTGTACTTTCGCTCCGACTACATTCACCATAAATCCGGGATCAGTCTCTTCATATGAATCATTTTGGTTCAGAAATTACATCTCTTCCCACCAGTGGAATTGAACCTAAAACTTTGAAAATGATTTTATCACTTCTCAACCATTGGACTACCAACTGTTAGATAAATATAAATATTATTTTGTATATCTAATCAAACAAGTCTGCTAATAAAACTAAACGAAAAAGGATCAAGTTCCATCGCTTTCGGCATCGAATAGACGATCAAGATTAGATTTGGAAACCTTTCATTATAAGATAGTATCAAACCGGTCCAAAGATACTTCAAATATCAAACTACTTTATTCCATGATTATTTTTTGTTTTATGAAAACATAAAGAAAATGTTGTTAGGACCACTTACTTGGTAGACACGCTGATCTTAATTATCAATGTTTCATTCAAACGGAATATCACAGTCTATTGGAACCATTGTATCTGTCCTTGTCTCCGCCCGCTTGTCAGCAACTTCACATATAACATGTATATATATATATATATATATATATATGTATATACTAACAGTCGAATATTTTGCTATTTGATATATAATCCATCCGAATTATGAATTTTAATCTTTGATTCGCCCTAATAATGAGTCGAAGTGATTATTATAGATCATTTTTTTATAATGGAATACTCTATCTGCTACCTTTCGACGTGTTGATTAGGTAAATTTATTATCCGAAAACAATTTTTTTATATGGATCTTTGATCCAAAAATTACGTCTCTTCCCCTCATGCGGGATTGAACACTCGGTATGCGATGGTTCCCCACCTTGGAACGACCACTCGACCATCACCGTGATTATTATACATCCTGATAGTTTGTATTACGCGATACACACTTTGAAGTTTGAACAGAATCATGTATATGGAAACCTAGATTTCCGATGGATACGCGTTGACCAGAATTTCTCCTTTTGACCGCATCCATTGGACACGCTTACCTTACCTCCCCCATCGTCATCTCTCTCTACGTCATTTGCCCTACGTCATCAGTTCCACAATATATCAGGATGCATTTGCAATTTTCTTTTTCGTAATGTCGAATAATTATTTTTTCTAGTTATTATGTGCACGAAAATATTTTTTTAGTGTAATTTTGATCATGTATTCATATATATATATATATTGCCAAGTTTTTATAAATAAAGATTGTTAACAAAAAATAAGTGAATTAAAAATAGGTATGGTTACGTGTTAGGGCAACCAAAAGGGGAAAGAATGTAATAAATGGAGAAATAAAGAAGTAATCGAATATGTAATTTTTTATTCTTGGGATTTTCTACAATAACAAAAAAAATGGCAATTCTAAACAACTTTAAAATATTTACTAATTAATTCATAAATTTACAACACAAACGTTGTCTGTAAAAAATTCTCTTTTTTATTTTAGGATCATCATATATATATATATATATATATATATATATATATATATATATATTTTGTAGCACCCATATTCAGATATTGTCAAATTTAAACTGCAAAGTAAATACATTTAAAAATGCGATCCCGTTGAGTGTTATATTACATTGATTATGTCGTGTCAAATCTGATTTCGACATGTGCAAATTAATGGCAAATGGGAGAAGAAGAGAGAATTAGGGCCGTGTAGTGTAAGTAAAGAGATTATGTGTGTGTGTGTGTGTGTTTTGTCTGTTTACTTTTAAGACATCATAATGTCTTCGAGCTTGAGCCCTACCACCACTCTGCCACTTTAGATACCAAAGTCATGTCCTTTTCCACCCTCCAAATTCTCGTGAAGGTGAATTAATTCGTACTAATTGCTAAATTACATATAGTAATGCATAATAATCGTGATTTTGGGTGACTGATATATAATATGTATCTATACACTATTCTTACGATCTGAGTTTTTGTTGATAATTTATATAGGAACCATACAAAACATTCAAATGTTTGGACTTTCCAATATATGACCGGAAAATGTGTTTAGTTAGCTTTTTAAAATGCTATATTTGGAAATCTTTCGACCTTTTTAAAAAAAAATCCAAGTTAAATAATTATGTCATTTTCTCCTAACCCTAATTACTCAAAAGCTTATGTTTTTTTTCTTCATAAATCATCTAACATGACACATCAAGACCTTTTCATGGACCCAAATTATACCACACATTGTCAACTGATGCAACAATTCAATGAATAGGGTGTGACAAATGAAAGCGAAAATAAAAGGTTATTGCAATATTGGAACGGTTCCCTAATTCACTGCCCTCACCATTTTCAACCAAAACATCACGATGATAATAACCTATATCTAACCATTTTTTCTCCACTTATATTTGCTCGTTGGTCAATCGACACGTCATCGCTTGTTTTGTTCGCCGTGTTAAGATGGACCGACACGTGTCTTTACACGTGATTATACACTAAAGCCATCAAGTCTTTTATGTACGATTGGTCATTTTGAAAATGAAAAGGAGTGGCTTTCCGATAACCATGGAGGCTGCTACTGTCGCAAATTCAATAATTACTTGCACAAAATAATCTTTATATATATATATATATATATAACATATAGTGTCATGTAATGTTATGTATCCATCCAGATATCTGAGCCGATCTTTTTGTTATGCACAAAAAGAAAAAAATGACTTCGATTGACGCATTTGAAAAAATGGGATTGTACTTAGTTTAGAAATATTCATGAAATACATATGTCTTTTATATAACCCATATTGCGTGGATCCATCGAACTATAAATTATAGAACGTGAACGTTGTAACGAGTGATGTTCGTTAAAAAAATATATCAAATCAAACCGGGATTATATATATAACCAGATGTAAATCGGACTAATTAAACCAAGGCGCGATATGCAAAATTGACCACGTGGGAATTATATATGTATACAATACACATCGATCAAGTGTTTAAGTAATATTTTAGTGGGATTCAAAATACCACAAAACATGATTATATATAAAACATAGCATAACATGTACTTCATATGCTTTGAAGATTAATTTGAAAATGGAATGAGAATTAATAATTGCCTCTTTTTTTTTTTCCAAGAATAACAATGAACGAATATTACCCCCGGTGGGTCGGACCCAAAATTCCTTTGAAATCTTTTTGACCAAAAAGACCGGTACATAATATCTTCGTCTATATATATTAATTAACATCAAAAGGTTTACGACTTTATAATATATAGTTGTGAAAATCCATGGAAAGAACGGTCCCTACGAGATAAGTATCAGCATAAACTATGGGAAACGAGAATCTATTCGATTCTGTAGGGATATTGTTGGAAGTAATTTTACATTTAACTTCCCATTATGTTAATGGTCTAATATTTTCTCCATGTTTTTTTATAACATTGGAAACCCCTATCCTACAATCCTTCGGGCAGGACTTTCGTCGCGGATATGAGAAAATCCAAACCCACGTACATGAGTATAAAACACATACGTGAGAGGTAAATCAGTCCAGAAACTGATATTTTCTTCGAATGGTCTGATATTTTCCCATTATGTTAATGGTCTGATATTTTCTCCGTGTTGTGTTAACTACGTGATAACCACCTGATACTAGTTTTTTTTATAGAGAAAAAATAATAAATAGGGATAACATGTTTGGTGTCTAAACCAAACAAAACATACAGAAATACACTATCAGTATTGTATTGCTAGAGATTCAAAAGCACCAAAGTGTTCGGATTTCAACTCAACTATTTTCAATGCAATGGATGGAGGTATGTTTCGTTTCAGAATTTATTTCCGCATACATGCTCGCTCTGATGTAAGAAAACTGTTTATATAGATGATTGTGATTTAAGATGAGTTTAAATGAAATTTTAAACTATCACGTATATCATTAATGTTCGGATTTTGGTAGATCTATAAAAAAAAAAGTATTATTGTGATCAATGATAACGTGATAATACAAATAGAAGAAATCAGTTTGATTACTGGTTAAATAATATAAAACTTTATATGAATTAGTTTGTATAGTAAAAATAAAATTTGTGTTATTAGGATATGTGATATCAAGAATACTATTAACTCAAATTCGACCACAGGTGCGATTCTTCGGTGCAATGCATTTAGTTCTAGAAATAGATACGATCGAAAAGCTAAAAGAGAGAATCATTTCCAGCTAATTGTCTAGAGGACCCAGAGCAAATCAAGAATTTCTAGTAACGGAATAATTCTTTATAGTATGATATATATATATATATATATATATGTCTTACAATATGGAAAATAAATATTCACATGAACTTCTTCTATTTTTTTAGAGATATAATTAGACATAAATTCCGGTAAACTTTCAGATTATAAAAAAAAATTGACGCATTCAAAACGACCATATTACGACGCCTTTGATCATATATCTTGAAAATATATTTTAATTAAGGATGATAAATAGCCCGTACAGAATTTTTACGGTTTTGCATTTATACATGTAAATGGTTAAAATCTAGGATCTGGACTAAATTATAACATAAACTATTGTGTAATTTTGAAAATTAAACAATCTAGATTCGAAAATATTTGTAATCCTAAACATTTTGAATTTTCTTTATGTTTGTTTTATATATCGAATTTAGTTGATTTATAAATTATCTTAGACTAATAATGAATTAGACTAAATAAGTCATAATAATTAAGTTAGTAACAGAGCGAGCGAAGACGTATCTTTGACTTTCTTCTGTCTGAAAAAACGCACTTTAGTTTCAAAAGCAAGTCCCTAAACTCGCCTAACACCATTTCTTATTTGACTTTTGCTTTAAAATGTCAATAGTGAAACAGTAATCGATTATCAATATTCGAAACAATTAGAAGTAAATAATGTATAATTCAATAAATTGATGGTATTGTATTCTTTCTTTGTTTGTTACAATTAATGTTGCTTCACTAACAAACAAATTCCACCCAATAATATGGTTTTAAATATACATAATCTCCCTTTAAATGAAAAGAAATTAGAATTATAGACGTTTTTCAAACACAATAAAGGGAAAGTGTTAAGACACGTTTTTTATCAATATTTTATTGGCACGAAATCTCTATCATCCATCCCTAAATTGTGTGTACGTGTAATTACGACTTTTTGAAATGATTTTGATATAAAATTTTATATTTTAGACCAAAAAACTAAACTTAACTATTTGTCCAAAATAAAAACGCATAGGGCAGTCGCTGTGGCACGTCTGCGCGTACTGAGGGGCAAAAAAAAATATACGAAAAAGAAAAAGAAAAGGAGTGCGTGTTACTATAGATAAGGAGAAGTCAAAGGGTCAAACTTATCAATTTAAAATTAGGGAAAAGAAGGAGAAATGGGCGATTAATTAAAATAAAACACATAGATTAGTAGCAAAGTTATGCTTTAGAAACATGAACAAGGGAAACATATTAAAAAAAAAACACGCTTGTGCCGTGTCCTAATCACTCTTCCACCTCCGACTTCTTTCAACATAGAACAGAACCCCACAAAAATTTAATAAATATTTTTTCTCCATGATTCCTTTTGTCGGTTTCCCTATATAATGCTTAATCACATGTTATCTAATCCAAATCTCCCCAAGCATCGGATCTCCCTAATCTCTCTCTCTCTCTCTCTCTCTCTGGTAGCCAACAAGATCAATGGAAGAATACGAACAAAATTCAGTTATTCCCACTAACGATGAAGATTCCGACGTACGGAAAGGTCCTTGGACCGAGGAAGAAGATGCCGTCCTCATCAATTATGTCTCCGTTCACGGCGAAGGTCGCTGGAACAACATCGCTCGCTTCTCCGGTACGGATTCTATACACCCTCGAGTACATATATATATACATACATACACACACTCCGAACACGGTTATATATATGTATGTAATCATGGACGAATGTGTGCATGCATGCAGGGCTTAAGAGAACTGGAAAGAGTTGCAGACTCAGATGGCTAAACTATTTGCGTCCAGACGTCCGACGAGGAAACATCACTCTCGAAGAGCAGTTTCTGATCCTCAAACTCCATTCTGTCTGGGGAAACAGGTACGGTCGGTCTTTATATTCCCCATGCATGTCTTCGATTATATTATAATCACAATCCAAAAGTGTTAATTTGTAATGAGTTTAGTTCCAAAAATTGTGCAAAAAAGATGAAATTTTTCCGTACGGATTTTGATAAATTAGGTGGTCGAAGATTGCCCAGTATCTACCTGGAAGAACAGATAACGAAATAAAAAATTATTGGAGAACTCGAGTTCAGAAACAAGCCAAACACCTCAGATGTGAAGTTGACAGCAGCCTCTTCAAGGAGACAATGAGAAATGTCTGGATGCCTAGGTTACTCGAACGAATCCACGCCCAGTCATCAGCTTCCACGTGTCAAACCGGAGAATCCGCCGTCACCGAACCGAGTAGACCCGTTTTCGCCCCGACGTCCGAACCGGGTTTGGATCAATTCATGAGCGCGGACCAACAGTTCATGGCGTCGGAGTTCTCGGCGGCCTCGTCGAACTCGCTGGAGACGCAGTTTTCGACATTCCCCGATCAGGGTCATGTGAACGGGTCGGGTCTTGACCCGTTTCAATCGGGTTTGGATGAATTATGTGATTGGAGCTATAGTGGGGACGAGGTGGAGAAATTGTGGAAAGACGACAGTTTTTGGAGCTTACAGGACCAATTGTGCGACCAAACATCGTATTCGTACAACTAAATCTTCAGCGTTGAAGAAATAAAATACTTTTCCCGAAGAATTCAATTGCGTCACGTTTGGTGTAGCCATTCGTTCGTATATCTTGCGTGATGCCATTTTAGATACGGCTTGGTATACGGAAACTGACTTCATGCCGTCCTCCTCTTAATTTTGTTGTCTGATTATGTTCCGTTCATCGCGCAAGGAGACTGACGTGTATATATATATATATGTGTGTGAATTATCACATGTACGTAACTCGTAATTAATTACCAGGAAAATTAAATCATTGCTCTCTTATGCTTTAGTCTTACCAAATCTTTGACTGTGTCGGCTTGTTGAGAGGACACGTGGACAGATGGATATGATACACAAGTATCTTGATTTTTTTTTATTAAATAAAACACGAATTGAGTAATTAATTACTTTTGTTATATGTGTAAAATTATGTGAAGATGTTGTGTTGGGACTTGGAACTGAGTCAAGTCACGGGTGTTTCCGGTCCCATGAGGTGCACAATCGGTCCACGGCCTCCCTGACCGAAGCACTTACGGCCGCAAACCTTGAAATACATGTATTTCTCTTACCTTATTATTATTACATTTTTCTTTTTCAACGTAATTAATCATGATTTTGCAACTTCATTAATTAGACTGATTTTTATGTCCAAAATATGTAGACAAATAGTAATTTAAATACCGGCAGCTTTCATACAAAATATCCCTAATCCATTAGATATTCATTTAATATGAAACTATTTATTAATAAGCATGGTTTATCATCCCACATCCACGATATTCTTTTTTTTTTGGGGTCTAAAACCGATATTATTAATTTATGTCTCTAGTAATGCATGGTTGCTGATATTGTACCCTAAAGCGGGCCTACTTACATGCCCCCATTTTTATTTAATTAAAACAGTTATTTTTTTTTTTATAAAATTTATAAAAATTCGAATAAAATTATTAAATCCCCTCCCCCCTATATATTTATGAAATTCACTTTTAATAGGTTATTGAAATCCTCTTAATAATTGATCACCGACGTTTATTTAGTTAACGTGAATGCGGTTATATTTCGTCTAACAACATATAGGTTATGGTGGCTATTTAGTTTGCATTTTGTAAAAGTTGGAACAGTTTTGTAGTGATTTTAAAGGAATGAAATACGAATCTTGAAAAAAAAATATATAATATAAGAGAAAATAACATATAAATATCTAAATTTTTATTAAAATTCTATATAAATACCTGAACTATAAAACTTCCATATAAATATCTAAACTTTTAAAAATCCTATATAAATATCTAGAATTTTAAATTTTTTTCCAAATAAATACAAATTTCAGGTATTTTTCAAATAAAAATATGTGATGTCATTAACAGATTTTGGATTTATTTGGAAGTTTTTCAGAAGTCTAAGTATTTATGTAGAATTTTAGATAAGTTCAGGTATTTATATGAAAATTTTATAATTCAAGTATTTATCTGAAATTTTTATAAAAGTTTAGATATTTATATACGATTTAACCATAATATAACTAAATAGGTTAAAATATATCAATTAGTTTTTATATATATATATACACGGAGGTGCTGCTGAGTTCGTTTAAAAGGAATGCTGTCGGTAGTTCAGACTCACTCTACATCACATTATAGGCATTAGGCACCATTAATGTTAATTTGGTCCGACATTTGAAATAAAACGAGAAACATTCAAAGACGGCATTGCAGTTGGTTCTGAGCTCATCATTAGAATTAGGTATTGAATTAAAAAACGTGGGTTTTCGGTCTTGAAATTTATATTATAGTTGTTGACTCGATTGGTTGGTCAAAGTACACAAGTTGCCAAATGCATGTGAACATGCAACATGTGTATGTATATATATATATATAAAACAACAAAGAGATAATATATATTTGGTTTTGAAATAATTAAGATTTGTTTAGTTAACAAATCGTTTTTTTTATAGGTGTGAAAGAAGGCGACATTCCGACCGGGTGGAAATGCTTTTGACTTTCTGATTTTATTTACAGTTTTTTTGTTGGGTCATTGCTTACGGTCCACTTTCTTATTTTTATTAATTTCAATTAATTTACGGTCAATTGTTATTGTTTCTCAAAAGGGTCATAAAATCATTTAAAAAGCTTAAGCTCAGTTTATCATCCGAGGCATCTCACATCTAGAAGGATCATTTATTTTAAATATCATAATATATATACACACACACGCACTCATATATATACATATATATTAACTAACATTACATATGTCTATCGAAATGTATCACAAATCAAATTCAGAAAAATAATACTTGTGGATATTTGGTCAGTATTTTTTTGGATGCCCAAATATACTAATTACATAGATACAAATATTTAAAAGCAGAACTTTAGAAATAATTAAGTTTTTTTCAAACATTTATAAAAGGATATTTACATTGGATTTTTCGATTATTTAAATCGAATTTTTATAGCCCATGAGTTCCTATAATCATATGGAATATCAAGCCCATATACAAGTGGCCCAATTTAGCAACGCACCATAGAAGAAGACGACAATTGAAGTTAACATCTTTGATATAGATTCCATTCGAGATGGACGTGGAAATCTGATATGGTAACATATTGACAGTAAAACTTTATACAACTGAGAAACTTACTTTTTACAGTTGTTACGATGAATCAATCAGTCATGTGCTTGGAAGCATGATCATATCCAAAGATGATTCTCGATGATTTTCCAGGAAAACCCTCCGTCCACGATCTTGCTTCCATGCATCGTCTCGGCGTTGAATTCGTTCTTGTCCCGACGCGACAAGCTGGTAAGTACTCTCCTCCTCGTCTCGTCCCCTGGGGTATTTCCGTAATTTTTCACCTCCGGGGACGGAGCCTCGCCGGGCGTGAGACGGCAGCTCATCAATGCTCTGAGGAACAACACTAACGACGCCATATGCATGTGCATGTGCGTGTGTGTATATTAACGCATGCATTTATATGCACCAATTAATGGGTTCACACATATATATATATATATATATATATATATATATATATATATATACAAACATATATGTGTGTGTGTCTGTGATTTTGCGCTTGTAAGTCTTAACAACCGTTGCTGAAATTGATAAAAGTTGGACGAAACGAGAATGAAATGTTTCTTGAGGAGAAAAAAAAAGAAATTTTCCTATCCAATCCTTCTTGTATCAGTCAAAGATTGTTCGACAACCTTTATAGCGTCCACGTACGTAAAGGGTTTCTTGATTTTTATCCTATGGTTTACTTATATATATATATATAATTGCAGAAATTAAATAAAAAAAAAAGACAAATAAAAAAGAACGAAATTACTTTTATTATATCTATTCTTCTTCTCTTCTCGTTACATTACAATAAAAATAAAATATATATTTATAAAAAAAATAAAAAATAAAGTAAAAAAGAAATATAGACACAATTAAAACAAATCAGATACACAATATTTGGCATAATGATATTGTATCCATGATTATTCTCCATCATATCTCAAAACTTATTTTACTCCCATCACATAATTATTTTTTCATTTTAACATATATATCATTTTCTTGTTTCTTTTTAGAATCTTTTGGTGACATTTTCTAACCTTCAAATTTACCACATCCATTTTCATCCTTACCATAAAGTTCTGAAAAAAAAAACTTATATATATAGCAAAACGGTACTATCTTATGTCTTATGAAAAATATATCTAAAAGACTTCAATTCAAAATCTTAATTTCCCAAAACCTCCAATCAAATTATACTTTTTTTAGTCAAGGATTTTCACAATAAAAATATTTTTATCTTTCCCAATCCAAATTCGACTCTCCAATCGAAGAAATGCATTGATATGGATTTTATTAATCTTTTAAAATCGTAGTTGAGTTAGATGCACGATGAAATTTTGGATTATAAAAAACAATAAATAAATAAATACATAATTTTGGGGGAGATGGTCAGAGCAGTTCCATGTTTACGTGCATGTGCCCGTGAGTTCTGTGTAACTCTCTCCTCTCCTATGTAGAGAGATGTCAATTGTATTGAGTTAAATGGTTTAGCCCAACCCAATCCGATAATAATACTTTATGGTTTAACCTATTTAGTTAATTTTATTAAATGGATTAGATGGGTTTAACCCATTTGGGTTATGGGTTGAATGGATTTATCCAATAAACCTATTAAACCCACTATACAATTAATCTAAATTATATGATTATATAAAAATCTGACTTGTAATTGAACAAAATTATATTAAAATCGAATTCACGTAATCATATATATATATGAATTCGAATCAGACAAGATCCTATATAAAAATCGAATTTGAATCAATTCGGAATTGAACTTAATCATATGTAAAAACCGAAATCGAATTGAATTCGAATTGAATGTCCTATGTTCGAAATCGAATCGAATGAAATCATATGTAAAAATTGAATTTGATATAGAGTAAGAATCGACCGAAATCATATATAAAAACCGATTTTAAATAGAGGGTAACTCTATGTAGTATGTACGAATTTGAATCGAATATGAAGCGATCAGAATTCTATGTAAAAACTAAATGTGAATCCAACACGAATCGAACCAAGAATTTTTATAAAAAAACAAATCCAAATTTAAACAATCCAAATCTGAATATGCTAATTAATAAATCAATTAGAATGAATATGTTAATTGGGTTTAAATGAGTTAATTGGGTTAATCCAACCCCTTTAGTTTTGAATATAATATCAACCCTAAACCCTAAACCCAACCCATTACATCTATTGATCCAAACGGCTTAAGTTACCCATTTTGACAACCCATTAAAATCTCTAATTCCAATGTAAAGGCACAATCTTTTTACACACACCACCGCATCAACAGGAGCCAAACTTACTTCTTCATTGGCAGAATCTTAATCGGACCGGTTTATGGTTAGTGTTGGAGTCCGTACGGTTGGTTTGGGATATCTCTGCACGTTAATTTATATGCCCAATAGATTATTTTATTTCCAATTTTCTTTATCAATCATATCAACCGATTAATTATCTGATTTTTTTTTAAAAAATTTCACGTCAAACAATTTCAATCTTCAGTCCTTCGCAGACGGAAAAAGGGTATCTCTCTCTCTCTCTCTCTCTCTTTTTTCCCTCTCTTTTGTTGAGCCCTTTAACCCTTTGCGATCAGCGGCGTTTGACGCCAGTTTCTGGGTTTAGGGAAAGGCATAAAATAGAAGTAAAAATGCTGCGTGACACAGAGCTTACAAAGTGTGGCATCGCCAAAGGCTCGACGGTGGAGGTGAGCTCCGACGAGGATGGTTTCAAAGGGTCACTGTACGTAGCCGTTCTCGAAGAAACCCCTTCCAAATCGAAGCGTAAGAAGCTTTCGGTCCGCTACTCGACGCTGCTCGCCGATGACGATTTCACTCCCCTCCGAGAAACCGTCGACCCGCGCTTCATCCGACCGGTGCCGCCGGCGGACATTGTCGCCGCCGTCGAGAAGTTCGAGGAAGGAGACGTCGTCGATGCCAGCTACAGAGATGGGTGGTGGACTGGGGTGGTGATGAAGATTCTGGAGGGTGGAAGGTATGTCATCTACTTCGATAACCCACCTGATGTTATCGAGTTCGAGGGCAAGGATTTACGGGCTCATTTCGATTGGATCCACGGCAATTGGACTCGAATCGAAAAGCAGGTACCTTTTTTGTGGTTTCTCGACCTAATAGCCGTTCCTCTCTTGTCGATTGATTTCGTATGAACAAGTTTTCAGTTTGATTCTTTTACGATTGGTTTTCCTGCAAAGTATTGTACTCCTCCACTGTCTGCATGCTGTTGTCGTATGAATGTGATCACCTTGAGTTATGATTCATCGATTTCCTTTGTACCCAACCATGAATTTTCCTTCCGTTTCAGTAACCCGTTTCACTTTTTTCCCCTTTTAAGCAATTGAAAAAATCTGCATTTAGCTGCGGGACAACAGTGGAGATGAGGCCTGACTCAGAAGATCTATGCGACTTTTGGATTCCGGCGGTAATTATCAAGGAGAATGAGGGTGGAACATTCCATGTGAAGCATAAGTCTTTGACGAAAGGTGTTGATGCAGAATCCATGATATTGAGTGTTGTTGATTCACGCTGTATCCGACCTACACCTATGCCTTGTAAGGACAGAGAGTATGCTTTACTGGAACTTGTTGATGTATGTCATGTTCGGGGATGGCGTGAAGGTGTGATCACTAGGGTTCTTGCTGGGAAAACATACACAGTGTTTTTCAAGAGTACGAACGAGAGTTTTGATTTCAATCACTCTGATCTAAGGCCTTCTCTGGAATGGAAAGATGGGTCGTGGCAGATGGAACCAAAGGTATCTTCTTTCTTTTCGTGTTGCAGAGAATTCGATGGTATTTCAATTCGGTTTTAAAACTGAAAAAAATTGTATTTTTGTTTTGTGTTCCAGCTTAGTATTCCTCTGCCAGATCTTCCACCGCAATCAGGGCACATCAACGAAAACGCCGACAACTCTGAGCAAGTTGTCGAGCCCGAGAGAATTCAAAGTGCCGCCCAAAGCAAAACCAAAAGAAGGAGGACTCCTTCCAAATGCTTAAAAAAGAAGCGGGGAGATGGTTCAATTGTCGTCATTGAAAGCTATGCTGTGTCCTCGGCAAAGAAAATGAAGTTAAGAAGATGTTCTACAGAGTTTTATAATGGAGGATGTGATGGAGAGGGCGAAGCTTCTGTCTTTACTAATAGAGCAAAGAACGTTCAAAACACAACACCTGTTGATGAACAAGCTCATCATGGTTTGTCCACTCCAAGGACAACAAGTACAAGTAGGGCAATGGCAAACAGTGAAACCTCCATTGAAAGTGAAGCTTTGATCAGCAAAGTTGCAGCTGTGAGTTAAATATCTCTCCTTTCTTGTGCAAATCCATCCTTTTAATTTTTTTTCACTTTATTGAAATTCTTTTATAGTGTTTTTTTTTCGTATCGTCATGAAAAATTTCTTTAAGTTTTCTTCCTAATCATCCTCTTGTTTTGTCAAGTATGGCTTCATTTGCAGCATGAGAGCTTTTCCTGTCGAATACACGGTTCTAAGTTGGTTGGTAGTGACGGTCTGAGGCGGGAAACCTTGTATTCTCCCCATGAGAGGACGGGTACTCATTGTTCGTAGGATGCTTCTTGAACTCATTGATTTAATAATTATGTGCAGAGAAAGAAACTGCAAGTAACTCGGCAATCGGGTGGTAAGATGGCTAATGCTGTGACGAATGGGAAGAGTCCTGACAAAGTCCAACGAGCGACGACAGCAAGTGAGTGATCTTCCATAGAAACTAAACGTTTTTTTTTCAAAGGCGATACTGTTTTTAGCATCGTGAAGTGGGTTTATGAAACGTATTTCCAGCAAAAGAAATTGATTCACCCGTCGTCATTGGCATAAGAGCAGCTTTGGGAAACAAAACAGAGGCCACTCCCGGAGGAAAAACATCTCCGAAGAAAACACCTCAGACGAAAAGGAAAGAGAAGGGCTCGACAAATGACTCAGAAAGAGTGGAGGTGAAATTAGTTCACCAGTTCATACTTAGCTTTGTTAACTCTCTAGATCTCGTGAAAGTAGTTTACCCTCGCAATGTTTGTCTGCTTTTATTTAGGTTTAATTTATGCAGGAGACTGAGGAGCAGATAAACAGCAGCAACAACATTCAAAAGAGGAAAAGAGGCCGACCACGTAAAATCACAAGCCCAGAGTTTTGTCAGACAGGTAGGTATTGGATTTCATGGTTAATCATATATATATTATATGCCAACTCCTGCAAAACATGCATGATGATCAAAGTATGTTTATTGCATCAAGTTATGTTATAGTTTGTTTCCGTGAAACCTTTTTTTATCGATGTTGGGTAAACTTGTAGATCAAAACACGTCCGATGAAAAGACAGTTGAAGCTTCTGGTGATACCGAGGCTGCAACTGAAGATAGCAATAATGCCGTGACTGATGATGATCAGTGCCTCAATACATTGATCGCTACATTGGTCGGAGTGAATTCATCTTCTGCTGCTGAGAAATTAAGTAAGTCTTCTAATATATCTATATTCCACATGTATCAGTCAGTATCTCTGACCAGAACTGAACCGAAGTTGGTTTTAGTATTGCTGAACTGAAGTTAGCTGAACTGAAGTTAGCTGAACTGAAGTTAGCTGAACTGACGTTGGTAGTAGCATTACTGAACTGGACTGGACTGAAATCGGCATTGGTATTGATGACAATAGGAATGTTCATGACGGATAACATTGATATGGTTCAGGGCTATCCTCAAGTGCAGCGAACAACTCTCCGGTTGAAAATCAGATTGGCCTTGTTGAAACCCCGATGAAAGATGCGGCAATAGTTTTGCCGTTTGTAAAAAGGTCGCCAATATGGGAGACCGTCGAAGGGATGGAAGTCTTCAAAACCGTACCACAGAGACCGCATTTCAGTCCGTTGCTCGAAACCAGAGAAGAGTACCGCGAAGGGTCAGCCATCGGCATGATGGTTACCTTCTCCAGGCTGCTCGAGAAGGTCAACGAACTGCAGTTAGACGAGCCCAGAAGCACCCTCGAGAGCATCAACCAGTGCCTTCTCGATGTCGAGAAACATGGATTCGACGTTGCATCGCCTCTATGCAGAATCAACGAGCTGATGTCCATCAAAGACAAGCAGATTGAGACGCTGGACAGATTAAAGGAGCTCAAGAGAGAGCTGGAGGAGTGTGACAAGAAAAGGAGCAAGTGCGAGGAAGACATTGAAGTTGTCAGGGTCAAGTTTCTTGAACTGCAGAGCCAACAAGCGGGATTGATGAAGCTGAAGGAGTCGATGGATAATGACAGAGCTCGGCTTCAGTCCCAAGAAGCGGTACTCGATCAGACAATCCAGAATGTGGAACACGAGTTCCAGAAAACCGTCCACGCCCCTTGGAACACCAATCTAAAGTAGAGCCGGAGAGACTACAATCTGCACATCTGATCTGAAAATGGAACCAGATTGTAGATAAGGCTCTCTTACAAGAAGTATGGTGTAACCTTTAGGACTATAATCCTTTTGGGCAATCCGCGGCAGACAGGGTTGATCATGTTCTTACGAACTAGGATTCGCAGCAGTTGCATTAGTTGTGTTGGTAGGCAGTGGTATTATGATAGACCCTTTTTGAAGTGTTATGCCTTTTGTCACCCATTCCATTCCACATTGCAAATGCTTTGTTCTAGCTTTTCGATTCTGTGAAAATATATATTTTTTTAAAAAGGTTTTTTTAATTAATTATACCCACAAAGCCACTAGCTACCATAATGAGAATTCAATCTTCTCACCATAAAACCCAAATCCAGCAGAGCAGACCCTGAACAAGCTTTTAGGCCAAAGCACAAAAGACAGAAACAATGGCAAATCTTCTGCTACATTTGTATCTGTATATCAGCCCTAGATAGAGAGTGAAGCTTCCAATAACAAGAACAACAGCAGATTTTGTCTTCTTCAAGACAAGGAGAAACAACTAACTTACCAAACACAGACTTGGAGTGGGGTCTAATAACGATTATAGTGTTTCCCATAATAGTCTTCACGTCTCTGGCGTTGAAAACCACCATAATTTTCGTGATGCTGCATCGGAGGATAGTTCTCCACATGGTTTGGATACCTGTTCTTGGAATCTGTAGGCAAATTGCTTCCACCATAGGGAGAGTAACCCTCAAACTCGGCATAAGGTAACTGTCTATAACTACCATAACTCAAGGCTGACATTTGCTGACGACGCCTCTGAGCATCAACTTGAAGGAACTCTTCCCATTGTTTTCCATTCATTTCCCTTAGCACAGCCAATTTCTTCGTGTAGCTTTCTCTCATTTCCCGGATCGCCTAAAAGAAACTCGCATAAACAACTGTCAGAAAGTTGAAATTCCAGTAAACATGTGAATACTTTTCTTGCTCAAGTTCTCAAAGAATGCCGTCACTGAAATCATCTAAACTCGTTTTTTTTTTGCATCTACCAAGAAATTCATCAGTCACTGGATCCCTTACCTCACGATGCTTGTTATTCTCCTCCTCTTCGTCCTTATCACGAACCCTTTCCAGCTCCATTGCCTCTCTCTTATATTCCAGCTCTAGCTCTTCTAATGTCTGCGGGAAAGAGGGTCGTTCAAGCTGATGACTTAACTGAATATCAGAGCCCCGTCTCTCATGATCCCATCTGTCAGTTCTATAACCATTCATATCCGGCTTTGGCCTACCATAAGGCTTATCCCATCCACTATATCGGGGCTTTCCAGGAGATTTAGAATGGTTCGAGCGGCTCTGAGCTCTGTCACTACCATAAGCTTCATGAAATGTAATAATATGTTAACTGCTTGATATAGACATTGGCGAAAAGAACAGCTACAGTAAGAAGTGATCTCATCTTCAATCAGAGAAACCAACCATTGGACTTCGAGCAAACATTCAGTAAATAAGATCATTTCGGAGAATGTCGAAGCCATTTGGAACACCAACAGAGGTTACTTTAGTATCATACACAACGCTAAAAAATATTGACTTACCTTTAGCTGCAAAAGAAAGTTAAGGAACAAAAATATTACTGACAAAAAACGAAGAAATGTTCCGCAAAGACAGACTACAGACAATTACCAGTTCTCTATCCATTCTGTAAAAGTACCCTATCCTGTCCCTACCTCGTGGAGATCCCCGGGAAAGTTCCTGC